GTTTGAACCTTGACTCTATCACTTACGTGTTGTGAACTTTCGCATGAGTCTTTTAACTCCACTAAAGTTCAATTTCCTCAAAAACAATCTAAAGATATTAAAACCTTCCTCATAGGTTATTATAAAAACTAAATGAATTTTTAAATTTTTTTTAATGTTGTAGTTTAAATGAAGTTTACATTTCAAGTTAGTCTCCCATACAAAAATTTATACATACATTGTTATGTGACCCTAACTGCTCTCCCCATACTGTGACAGCACACTCCTCCCTTCCACCCCTGATTCCCCATGTCCATTCAACCAGCTCCTAACCATCTCTGCCTTCCCATCTCACCTCCAGACAGAAGCTGCCCATTTAGTCTCTTGTATCTACTTGAGCTAAGAGACACACTTCTCACGAGTATCACTTTATATCCCACAGACCAGTCCAATCCCTGTCTGAAGAGTTGGCCTCGGAAAAAGTTTTAGTTCTGGGCTGATAGAGAATCCAGGGGCCATGCTTTCTGGGGTTCCTCCAGTCTCAGTCAGACCATGAAGTCTGGTCTTTTTACTAGAATTTGAGTTCTGCACCCTACTTTCCTCCGGCTTTGTCAGGGACTCTCTGCTGTGTTCCCTGTCAGGGCAGTTATTGTGGTAGCCAGGCACCATCTAGTTCTTCTGGTCTCAGGCTGATGAAGTCTCTGGTTTATGTGACCCTTTCTGTCTCTTGGGCTAATACTTTCCTTGTGTCTTTGGTGTTCTCCATTCTCCTTTACTCCAGGTCGTTGGGACCAATTGATGCATCTTAGATGGCTGCTTGCAAGCTTTTAAGACCCCAGACACCATTCACCAAAGTAGGATGCAGAACATTTTCTTAATAAGCTTTGTTACGCCAGTTGACCTAGATGTCCACTGAAGACATGGTCCCCAGATTCCTACCCCTGCTACTCTGTCTCTCAAAGTGTTTGATTGTATTCAAGAAACTTCCTAGCTTTGGTTTAGCCCAGTTGTGCTGACTTCCCCTGTAGTGTGTGCTGTCTTTCCTTTCACCTAAGATAATTCTTATCTACTATCTAGTTAGTAAATAACCCTCACACTCCCTCCCCACCCTCATAACCATCAAAGAATGTTTTCTTCTGTGTTTAAACCTTTTCATGAGTTCTTATAATAGTGGTCTTGCACAATATTTGTCCTTCTGTGACTGACTAAATTCACTCACCATAATGACCTCCAGCTTCCTCCATGTTATAAGATGTTTCACGGCTTCATCTCGTTCTTCTTTATCGTTGCGTAGTATTCCATTGTGTGGCTAAACCATAATTTGTTTATCCATTCGTCTGTTGATGGGCATCTTTAGGTCGTTTCATCTTTTTGCTTTGTGAACAGTGCTGCAATGAGCATGGGTGTGCATATATGTATTTGTGTGTTGGCTCTTATTTCTCTAGGATATATTCCAAGGAGCCGGATAGCTGTACTTCTATTTCTAGCTTTAGAAGGAAGCACCAAATTGATTTCCAAA